AGAGTAATGAGGCAGCAACATATGATAGATAAGACGAACAAGAAAGGCTATTAATAATCTTTCATTGTGCAAAAGTATTATTATACTAAAGGCTACAAATACAGGAAGCGCTTAAGCGCTTATGCGTATCCCGTGCGCAGAATGACGCGCTTGAAGCAACACGGAGTCACAGCGTGTAGCGCTAAAAGTTCAAAAGGGAAGATATATTGCTGCGTAGTGTACAGGTGCATCTCAATAAATTAGAATGTCATGGAAAAGTTCATTTATTTCAGTAATTCAACTCAAATTGTGAAACTCGTGTATTAAATAAATTCAATGCACACAGACTGAAGTAGTTCAGTCTTTGGACTAAAAGAAGTCTTTGGTTCTTTTAATTGTGATGATTTTGGCTCACATTTAACAAAACCCCACCAATTCACTATCTCAACAAATTAGAATACTTCATAAGACCAATAAAAATTATTTTTTTTTGTGAATTGTTGGCCTTCTGAAAAGTATGTTAATTTACTGTACATGTACTCAATACTTGGTAGGGGCTCCTTTTGCTTTAATTACTGCCTCAATTCGGCGTGGCATGGAGGTGATTAGTTTGTGGCACTGCTGAGGTGGTATGGAAGCCCAGGTTTCTTTGACTAAGAGTAAAATGGGTAATGATAAGCACTTAACTTTGTTTAAAACGTATTTTAACATTCAATTTGCCTTAATTGTAAATTATTAGGTTATATTTGTTTACACATGGTTCAAATAGGTTTTTTGTTTACACATGATTCAAATCTACAAATACTACAGTTGAACTACGGACCTACGGTCACTTTAGTAAAACCATGTTTCATTTTCATAAGGGACTGCCAGTGACAGGCTGTTGCATGCATAAACTGCAACCTTTTTATTCTGACAGTGTATGATTTCTATTAACATTACAGAATAGAACATGATCAATATTATCTTTCAATGTTCAATTTAAATAACTGTAATTGCACAAACTATGTAGGCTACAATTTCAGTTTGTTTATTGTGAAATAACTCTGTCCTTCTGTCCTCTGATAAGCATTGTTCAGGGCTACCGTTCCCAAAAGCTTTAATGCTTTCTTATTATACTTTTAGGAAAAGCAGCCCTGTTTGAATGTACTGTCAGAAGTGAGTGAACACTCTGTGATTGATTAGTTCCGTCTTGCAACATTTGCGTGTTCAGATGAGCAGGAAAATAGTTCTATCCTACACAATTACTCGCTAACAAAGGTTATTCATCCAACTCAATGCATATTGTACGCATTTTTATTTTTATTTTTTTTAATTAACAAAATCACTGATAAATAAAACAAACCATAGTATCGATATTTTCTGTTTGAGTATCGATACTTTCGATACTCGCGTTAGTATCCATATATCGATACTTTGGATCGATACGCCCATCCCTAGATTGAATGCTGAATGGAGGATGACAGACAGCCGCAGCGGAGAGAAGAGTTTACGTGAACTTATATTTAACAGCTTAAATATTTATCTGTACCTCACATTAAACTATGGAACTGCTTCAAAACACTTGAAATATAGTGCACGGAAACTTTATGGTGCTTTATAATGTTTTTGTGCCTTTCGTGGGGCTTAACAATAACACAGAATAGTATACGCACTATATCGGATTTGGATCGGTCTCATCTGACCGATACCCCGATCCAGCAGAAAATGCCAGTATCGGAGCGATACCGATACTGAATATCGGATCGGTGCACCCCTACCTAAAACCCATAAAAGAAAACTTTTTTGCATTTTTCGAATGGTTTACTTCACTTATTTTTAATTGTCTGTAACTTTTAAGGACATCTCAAAAAAGTGGCAGTTTTTCTCAAGTTTATAGACGCATTCTTTCGTTATTTACTCAGTTTTCTATTATTTTCAGATCATGTATCTATATTTATCATTTTGTGTTTGTTATTTAGCGTACCTGGCCCCCTCTGTAATGTTGCCCCCTCGACGGCTGCAGACGCTGCTCAGACAGGCCGTGGAGATGCAGAGAGATCGCTGCCTTTATCACAACACCAAACTGGACTCCAGTCTGGACTCCGTGTCCTTACTGCTGGATCACGTCTGCAGCAGGTGTGCTGCGTTAACTCTTTCTAACGCGTCCCTCCGTCCTCAGAGATTTCACATGCAACGTCTGCGCTTGTGTTTGCAGGAAACAGTTTCCCTGTTACACGCAGCAGATCCTCACAGAGCACTGCAATGAAGTCTGGTTCTGCAAGTTCTCCAACGACGGCACTAAACTCGCCACCGGCTCGAAAGACACAACTGTGATTATCTGGCAGGTGGAGCCGGTGAGTGAGGATGTCTGTCACATGCAACAAAACATTGCTCTGTTCGTTTGATGAAAGTTGGAGATTTTAAAGTGACAGTGACCCTTTTTTAAATTAACCTTGGCACTTGTCAATCTTGAATAACTTGATTTAAAGAGATTCAATGATACAGATGTGCTCTCTCACACACAGGATTCGCATCAATTGAAGCTCATACGAACTCTGGAGGGTCACGCATACGGTGTGTCGTATCTTGCCTGGAGTCCTGATGATGTTTACCTGATCGCCTGCGGTCCAGATGATTGCTCTGAGCTCTGGCTATGGAATGTTCAGGTAAACACAGCACACATCTTTTTTTTTTTTTTTGTAGGTTTTTGCATAATATGCATTTTCTGGATTTTAGCATGAGAAGTTGCGTTCAAGTCAGAGAGGATGAGTGCACATGAACCTAGCTGAAAATTTGTGGGAAACCCAAGATTTTGTCAATTAAATACTCATGGCAGAAGAAAATTGGTATTTAATTGTATTATAAATTGTAATGATGGATGTGTACTATAATTTAGTTTCTATGTGTATTGCTTACTGATGCAGAATCGTTGTAAAGCATGATCGGAAGTTTAAAATTACTCATTCAGCCACATTTGAGGCTCAAGGCTTATATGACGTTTTCCATCATTCTCTGTGGCTCCTCAAAAAGGATAAAAAAAACATAAAGCCTTTATTATGTGTTTAAAACACAACCTTTGCTCTTCAGTTTGTTGCATGACGCTTTTGTTTGGAATGACAAGGAGAAAATATTTAACATACATCGTCATCATTACAACATCCAAAATCTCAAGCAGGATAATGTCACGTTTTCAATTCTGAAAGAATATTTATTAAGAAAATGTATTAATAATAATTAAAATGTGTATTAAAATAACATGATGATTAATACAAATTTATTAAACCTATTCAAAATTATTACATTTATATTTTCAAATTCATACATTTTCTAAATATTTTTAACTCTTTCCCCGTCAGCATTTGTGAAAAAAGTTGCCACCCACCGCCAGCGATTTTGATGATTTTCACTAAAATTTGATGGCCACCAGAATATTTTGCTGTATGAATATTTGAATATGCAATACACCAAAATAAAGATCAGAGCCTCTACTTTTTTTTAATTTTTTTTTATCTGTTTTATTCTAGCTTAAATCATTATTTTTTTTATCAACACTTGAATATAGATAGGTATCATAAAAAATGCATGATTTTGAGCAAAAAGGTGAGAAAATCAAATTTTTATCAAAAACTACATCTGGATAATATTCAGTACGATTATCAAAGCATAAATCCAGTAAATCGCTTCCATCAACACCTCCAAAGCTTGCATAGACATATACCACTTCCTGGATCAACATTTTACTCTGTAACGTTATGCAATTTTCATTTATATGCTGTCTATTGCTGATGATCGCATTATTTTTCATATGCATCCGTTTACATAAGAGATCGCTAGTTTCTCCGTCCTGTTCACTTGTGTTTTTGTTCAGGAGGTTTTGTACTCGTTCAGAAGATGCGTAATAGCGCCCCCGAGTGTATAACAGTGAAAACACGAAAAGCGGTAAAAACTCGTCTTTGGCGGGGAAGTGTTTTCTTGTAAAAGACGAGATAACTCGTCAATGGCAGGGAAAGAGTTTATAATTTATTGCAACAATGTTATCCTTACATTTACTGCCTTTTAAATATTTTTTAATGATTAAATAATACTAAAAATGTATTAATAATTAATGAATTAAAATTCAGATTTTTACCATTAATTACACATTTTAATTTGTATTAATTATTTTTTTTTATTTGTTTGAAAATATTGTGTTAAATTTTATTGTATTATTAATTCAGTTCATTAATAATTCAGTTCAGTTCATATCTTAAAGACAGGTCTTTTTCTGTTGGGTTAGGTAAGTTCTCTTCATCTATTGCTCCTATTATCTGTGGAGTACCTCAAGGATCCATTTTAGGTCCACTTCTTTTTAATTTATATATGCGACCTTTGGGAGATATTATTAGGAGGCATAGTGTTTCATTTCACTTATATGCTGATTACACTCAGCTGTACCTACTTTTGAAAGCTGGCGACTCCATTGAACCCTTATTGGCCTGCATTGGGGACATTAAGAAATGCTTATCTAGTAGGTGTCTTCGACGTAATGAAGATAAAACAGAAATAATCATCTTTGGCCCCCAAAAATTGAGAAGTGTTTTTATAAATGAGCTTGGCAATCATTTCGCCTCAGACTTGGAGAAGGTCATTCATGCTTTTATTACTTCTCGCCTTGATTATTATAACTCATTATATTTTGGTCTTCCTCAGTTATCCATTGCACGCTTACAGATAGTACAAAATGATGCTGCAAGGCTGTTGACCAGGGCTAAGAAAACTAATCATATTACACCAATTTTGGCCTCTTTAAATTGGCTCCCTGTCCATTTTAGAATTCAATTTAAAATTTTGCTGTTTGTTTTTAAAGCTCTTAATGGTCAAGCCCCATCTTATCTCACAGATCTTCTTACTCCTCTTTCATCCTCCAGATCTTTAAGATCTTCTGACAGGGCTTTTTTTAGTTGTCCCTCGTTCACGTTTAAAAACAGGATGATAGGGCCTTTTCAGTTGCCGCCCCCCGTCTTTGGAATCAACTGCCACTGGACATCCGCCTTGCACCTTCTATTGTAACCTGTCGTGCTTTAAAAAAAAAAAAAACGTTTTTTTTATCATAATAATCAAGGACTTTTAATATTTTTATTTTCATTATTTTTCTGAAAATGTTTTCAAATTAATTTCTTTTCAAATTAATTTTCACATGATTTTTATTGCAGCTATATTATCTTTTTATATATTTACTACCTTTCAGTTAAATTGTGTTATTTTTTATAATTTAAGATGTTTACAATTATTGATAAATTAAAGTTATATTTGACTTTTTTTTTTTAATTAGTGCTTTTGTTTATTCCTCAGCTTCTTTCTTCAGGTGCGTTTCGAGTGAATCTCACTCAATCTTGTTGTTTCTCTCAGATCATAAGGTATATATTTGGCACAAGCGCAGCGAGCTGCCGATCGTGGAGTTGACTGGACACACACGCACAGTGAACTGTGTCAGCTGGAACCCTTGTATTCCCAATCTTATGGCCAGCGCTTCTGACGACGGCACAGTCCGTATCTGGGGACCCGCACCCTTCCTGGACGCACAAGAGCAGGACACCCTCAATGGTACCGACATACTATCCAGTCACAGAAAATACAGGACTGAGAGTTAGAGCATCCATTCTTCAGATTCATTGATAATACTTAATAATACAGACAGATATAATCTAAGTTGAGATCATTATTGAGTTTCAATAATGTTCTTAAAATCAGCATGACTTAATACACTTTCCTGTTCTGAATGTGAGGGTATTATTCATAAAAAACATGAAAAAAATTGTCTTTTGACATTTTAAAAATTACAATTATATTGTTCATTTTTTAAAAAAAATTCCAACTACCTGCAATGTAGATAATTATACAGTTATAATACTATAATAATACAATATATATAATGTTATGAATTTGAATTTTTCAGATTTTTTTGAAGAAAACAAATAGTCTTTTTACATTTTAAAAATAAAAGTTATTTTTTAAATTGACTTATTACCTGCCATATAAAACTCTTCACAATTCAGTATATTTTATAAATACATTCAAATGTAAAAAATTGAAGAAAAAATGTCTAAATTGTTTATTAAATTTTTTTGTTTGAAAGTATTGAGTTACTTAGTTATTTTATTGCAGCATTGCAAAAAAAAAGAAAATCCCACTCTACACCTGTTTCATATTGAAATGCTTTGTTACAGAAGTAAAATGGGTTTTGTAAAATTCCTTTGTTGAATTTAAGCATTACTGAGAAACTATGTAACTACTTTGTTACAGCTTAATCTTTTTTGAGGCTGTCAGACATTCAGCCAGTAGTGCATTACGTGTAGTTGTGTCATAAACTAGCTTTTTTTTCTATAAGGAACAGAGACTATTTTGTCACTTAGCAATATTTTTAGAAAATTAGACTTACAAAAGCCCGATTGTTTTCAGAAAGCTTCTTCACTGTATTGATCTGACTGACGTTTTTGCACCAATGAATATTTGCTCTGATTAGTCATAATTTAACAGAAGGATAGACTTTTTGTTAATACAACACTCTTCTAAAAAAGTCAGTAAAAAATAAAATAACGTTTACTTTGTTTCAGTCGTGAATGATTTTTTTATTTTAAATCACTCTTATTTTATACACTCTTGTTCAGAATTTTGCATTTCAAAATTCAAAATTTTGAATTTTTTTTTTAATAAGTCTCTTCTCACTAAGGCTGCATTTATTTGAGCAAGAAAAACAGTAAACAACTGTAAAACTGCTAAATATTACTACAATTTAATATAATTGTTTTCTATGTGAATATATTTTAAAATGTAATTTATTCCTGTGATCAAAGCTGAATTTTCAGCATCAGTCTTCAGTGTCACATGATCCTTCAGAAATCATTCTGATATGCTGATTGGCTGCTCAAGAAGCATTTCTGATTATTATCAATCTTGAACACAGTTGTGCTGCTTCATATTTTTGTGGAAACTTCTTTGATGAGTAGAAAGTTCAAAAGAACAGCATTATTTGAAACAAATCTTTTGTAACATTATAAATGTCTTGACTGTCACTTTTGCTGAATGAAAGTCGATTTTTCTCTCATTTTCTCAGAGAGTTGCAGCAGTATGGACAGTTGATGGCAGCCCTGGAACAGAAGACTTGTCGCATCGGAAAATGCGAAATCCAACAGAGAAAAACACGATTACAGCATTGTCCTCCTCCACAACAACGCACGAGTCCAAACGCGAAAGAGTTTCAGAGCCTCGCTTTCAGGTGTCCGGAAGCAGCAGAGACCTGACGCTGATTCGACCCGCTTCCATACCGACGGATCTGATCTCTTTCCCTCCACGGCTGTTCCCACATTATTACCCTTTCATTAGGCCTGAAGACGAGAGCTGGAGCGCCCGGACGGGTGTATAAACTCACACTCAATGTTTTTCTCTCTCTCGCTCTCAATCCTCCAGCGGCAGAGGACGAAACACTTTTTTTAAAGAAATACTAGTCCTAGCAATTCTCTCTTTCGTTCCTTTAGCAGTTGATCAGCTTGGGCTTTAGTGTTGATGATGGAGTGCTGTAGTTTTTCCGTTTTTTTTTTTTTTTAATCTTTCAGAACACAAATGCATTGGTTTCAACCGGACTCGCACGCATCAGCAGGGGTCAGAGGTCGCCGTTTCGATCTCTGAGAGTTTAAATGTTCGACTGAATTCTGCTTCGGCCTCCCTCCTGTAGCACAGCCCGCGTGTGAGAGTGTGAGTGTTCAAATGTGCCTAAAGTTGGTGTACGTTCGCATGTGGCACTGCTCTCACACCAGCGTGAGTGTGTCCCTTGTTTAGCCGTGCGAATCGTTTTAACAGAATCTGATCGAAGCCCCAGAGACCTTCATCTGTGGAACAAAAACTTGAGAAGCATTTTTTGTTTTTTAAAAAGCAAGCTATTAGCGAAGTTCCTCGTTTTCACCACTTAGCTTAGAGGTGGCGTTCGGGAGAGAGACTTTGTAATATTAGTACAAAAATAAATCGACTTTGAGGGCGAAACGCACAGCTTTAAACAGAAAGATACTGTGACACTCAAAATGTCAATCAGATATTCGGCTCCTGATGAGGAGTTTGTGGCGTATAAATGACCTATGCAGCAACGTTTGAGCTGAGAGCCCCCATATAAAGTCACTCGCAGCAGCCATACCAGCATTAAAATAAACCGTCTTCAAATCCACAATGATTTCATCCACACGAAAGCTCTGCCTGTACGCTAGTTCAGTTATATCCACACAGTCACGTTCTCTGATCTGAGCTGTTTCCACCAAATATCCAGCTTTTGAGTCCCGTTTTAGGAGAGAAATATTTGCTATGGACTGATATTAAATGTTTGAAAAGAAATGCTTTTCTGCCTGTTTTTATGGAAGTTTTTGTTACTTTTTTTGGTTTACAATATTTTGTTTTTTTGGTTGACTTTATCTCTGTATCATTATATTAAACTATAACCAGATAAATTGTCTCCTCTTTTTTAAAATATTTTATTTAAGCATTATTAGCATTTTTTTTTTTCGATTAAAAAAAATAGTTACATTAACCGTAATTTTACTGACATCCACATATGCTTTCCACAGTCATGAGATGGTGCTAAACTCCCCGGCCTTTGCCTCGGAAATCCAAATTATCCAGAAAGTCTTTTCTAAAGTTACGGCACTTTATTACAGAGACATTTTTAATGGTTTATCCTTGCCAACCTGACAGCTTGTGGAAATGATTACAAGCAATTATTTGAGAACAATTCATGGATGATTTTCCAGTTATTAAAGATTTGTAAATGGATTTTGATATCGAATGGCTTCGAGTTGGTCAGCAACATCTGCCTGTTTTGGTTTTCATTGAATTTTGCCTGTTTACTTGAGGACCATTTTGTGCCATAAGCAAAAAAAAGTCGAACAAAATCTAAACAATAATTGGTCGCTGCTCGGACCAGGCTGATGCTTGTGCACTGTGACACATCTTTGCTGTTCATTTAGCTGATCTGAGAGCAGTTTCTTTGGCTATTGCTTCTCCTCATTGTTTTAAAGAACTAAAAACAAGCCTGCTCATTACAGCAGTGGACATATTAGTAATGCATATGATGATGGGGGTAGTATTGTTACTCTTGTACTGTGGGGTTTGTGTACTCTACTAACCATATGCAAGAGTGTCTCTCTTTTCCAGCTAACTGCAGGTGTGTTGCTCTCATGTTCGACTGTGAATCAGACGTGTGAGAGGTTTTCCTCATGATAACTGCTCCTGTACGAAGGGCATCCATTTGCATTAAATGTGTTATTTCAAAAAGTGATTGTACTGTTTTGTATTGTTGTGTAGGAGATGTGTTATGTATGCATATTTTCAATAAAGCATTCAGGGTTTTGAAACATAATGAAGCATTTCACCTGGCCTGCATGGGTTAAACTGTGCTTAATCCTTAAACCTTTACAGAAAATTTGGGTACTTTTGGTTACTTGGTGACAAAAATAACCCCCTACAAAAAGTACTACAAAAGGCGGTATAGTAATAGTAGCAGATGATACTGTAAAATTACCATCATGTACAATCATTTTTATATAAAATTAGAACATCGACAACTTCAAAGAATATTACTTTTATATTGCTATTAAGACACTATTTGAATTTTTTATTAACAAGTCAATAATTTTTATTTTATCTTTAGGTTTAATTATGTTCATAGGTTGGTGTTTGTTCTATTATTTTAATTCGTGACAATTTTATAGCATTTAAATAATATATATTTTTAACTCGATCAGATATAATTACAATATTACAATTAAAATCAATATAGAAAGAACAAGTAATAAATATTCATTATTTACACAAAATAAAAATAATAGAAATGCATACATAAAACCTATAATGACAGTAATGATCAAAAGTAAGTAACAGTAAAAATAACAAATGCTATTTTTAAACAATAATTGAATACAGAACATGGGTTGCAGACCACAATCAATCAAACTACATTTATTTATTCATAAACCAAAGATAAAACCAAATAAACATAAACCAAATCGAAAAAGAAAACAAAATTACATACGCAAAATAATCTCAAATTATTAAATAAATAAATATTATTTTAAAAAAAACACCAACATGGGAGCAAACAGTCCAAGTTTTAATATATTTTTTTTGTTACAGGTACAGGATGTAGACAAAGTTTTAACCAGTGTTGGGGGTAACTCATTACAAGTAACATGAGTTACGTAATCAGATTACTTTTTTCAAGTAACTAGTAAAGTAACGCATTACTTTTTCATTTACAAGAGAATATCTGAGTTACTTTTTCAAATAAGTAACGCCAGTTACTTTTTTTTTTTTCAATGTATTAATTGGCAGCTCTCCTGTGTCCATGTTGAGAGAAATCAGATGTTACTGTAGCTCTAAAATAAATATGAATATGCATTAATTCATCTCACTAACAAAAAAAAAAAAACAGATTCAGTATTCCTCAAAATGAATAAAAATAATGCAACTCAGAATATGCAATAATTAAATGTTAAACAACACAAATATGCTTTATGTATTTAATTCCATTCTATTAACCAATGTCTTTGCTTCTGACCTTCGATGATCCAGTTCAACCGTACTAATAAGCACAAATTACTCTAGATGAACATTTGTGTCTTTGTTTATTGCTGAAGTGTGTTGAAATGTCTTCTTCTGCATTCTACTGTACGGACGTACATTTACTTTCCCTTCAGCCTGAGGCTTATTCATTTCACTTTTGGTGTGAAAAGGCTTTTATATTTGCCAGAAATAGAACTTTTTTATTTTAGAAACAAACAAGCAAGCCCTGTCCAGATTTAAAAAGTAACGCAAAAGTAACGTAACACATTACTTTCCATAAAAAGTAACTAAGTACCGTAATTAGTTACTTTTTTCTGGAGTAACGTAATATTGTAATGCGTTACTTTTAAAAGTAACTTTCCCCAGCACTGGTTATAAATAAAACAGATCCTAGTATCTTACTTGAAATGAGTACGTTTGTGAAAGCGGCTTTAATTACGCGTGTTTGCGTCGCCCCGCCCCCTCCGTCCTCTTTCGCGCGCGCGTACGTTGCGTCTCGTCGTCCGCCACAGTCATGGCGGCCCCGGTCGCTCCGCTCGATGAAGACTGGGAGGATTTTAACGAATTCAAAGCAGCCGATTCGCACAGCAGCTGGACCGCGGCACCAGAGAATTCACCGCAGGCCCAAAGCTTCGCTTCTTTCGACGAGACGCTAAGCGCGAGCTTCCCGTCCTCTAGCAGCGCGTGCACGAGCGTCTCAGTGAGCGAGCGCGAGCTGCTGCGCGACGACGAGTGAGTGACAAAAACATACTCCAAATATTATAACAACGTGAAAATGTTATGTAGTATTTCATGTTTTATACGGTAAATACGTTTGTGTAAATATACTCGCTCCAGTTTGAATTACTGAAATGGTCAGGTTTCATATTTTGCTGTGATTCTTTATTTACACTACAGTAAAGTAACGTAACGTTACCACGATTTACCGTGCTAGTACCATGGTATTCTGGGAAATACCGTGGAGTAAAGGGTATTTTGTAAATGTCATATTAGCTAATTTCACCAAAATCTTCCTGCAAAAAAGTACCGTGATATTAGCGTTACAATATTTTGGACGTGATACTCTGATAATCAAATATTTAATTATTTTTATAAAGTAAACGGAAGAATAACTTTTATAGTGTTAATAATATTTCAAGATGAACATTTACTGGCCTGAAGCAACTTAGATGTACTTAATTAAAGCGGGGTTTTGATGAACGTTTATTTGTTCATCTCTCAATCATTGTATTGCATTACATTACAGGTACATCTAAAAAAATTAGAATATCATGAAAAAGGTCAATATTTTTTGTCACTCATTTCAGAAAGTGAAACCCATATATTATATAGATTCGTTACACATTGAGTGAAATATTTCAAGCCTTTATTTCTTGAAATTTTCCGCATTGATGCAGTAATTCATGCAAAAGGAGGCCCAACCAAGTATTGAGTGCATAGAAATGAACATACTTTTCAGAAGCCTGACATTTCTGTTTAAAATATCCTTTTTTTTTATTGGATCTTATGTAATATTCTAATTTTCTGAGACACTGAATTTTGGGTTTTCATTATCTGTAAGCCATAATCATCCAAATTTCAAGAAATAAAAGCTTGTAATATTGCACTCTGTGTAATGAATCTATATAATATATGGGTTTCACTTTCTGAAATGAGTGACAAAAAATATTGACCTTTTTCATGATATTCAATTTTTTTTAGATGTACTTGTATATGTTTTGAAACTACAGGGCTTGGATCATAAAACTAAATATTAATATCAACTTACCAAGATATTACTGAGAGAAATAGAGTGTCAGCTGATATTTATGTGTTTTATGTAAATAGTCTGCTATGCTGTTATCTAAATCTTATTGATTTACTTTACAAGCTAACAGAATTTAAAATGACTTTTTGGCCATAGAAATATCAGCAACGGCATAAAATAGCATATTTTTGCATATCTCGCAAACAAAAAAACATGTATGCAAACTTTTTTTTTTCTTTTTGGATTTTGTCTAAAGGTACAATAAACTGTTCCATTTGAAAAAGAAAATACTTTTTTCTGACTTTTACTTCATATGTTAGACTTTACAGGCTTATGAGTATGAAGCCGGAACTTGCATATATGAACCTTATGAAATCTTCTAAATACTGTCTTTCTAATTTATTCTTCTGTTTTCTTGTTGTTTCGCAGGATATGGAACACTTTGACCGAGAACTACGGCAATGTGATGCCAGTGGACTGGAAAACCTCTCACACTCGTTCACTACACCTGCCCACGCTGAACCTCCGGCCTCAGGAGGTGAGATCCGTCTGTCCATCCATTCATCCATCTCTCCTTTCAATCAGTACAGACAGAGCTCACACTACACGTGTGTGTATTTCAGAGGGGGGAGGTCAATAATCTTGATGTGTCTGATGACGAGGAGCTCCGAGATCAGATGGACATGCACACCATCATCATCTCATGTGTGAACGAGGAGCCGCTGTTTACTGCAGAACAGGTATATACACTTCAGACCTTTTGAGACTATATTAGTGAGGGCCAGTTATAGATGCAATAATAACTTTCATAATGATATTTTCTATACCTTTTCTTCGACCATCATAGAAACCTGTTTACGGCAGTAGATTTAAAACCGAACACGATTTGGGTGTTTTATGAGCCTTTTGAATTGTTTCACTAACAACATTGTAGTCAAACCTGTACATTTGACATTTGACCTCATAACCTGCGTGTTAATCAGGTCATAGAAGAGATTGAAGAGATCATGCAACAGTCTCCAGACGACGAGGAACACGAGAGTCCGTCTCAGTTTGACCTCTCCTTGATGTCGCACGAGTTACATGCTCTCACACATTCCACATCCAGCAGCAGCTACGAGGAGCGTAAGTACTGCATGTAGA